GGAGCAAGTGTTCTTTGGAACTCACTTTGGAAAATGCTGTAGGACCCGAGGGGCCATTTTAAGCAGGAAAGTGGTATAGTCCTCTTTGTCTTTTAGATAAGTCACCGTGGTTTGATAATCGAAATATTAGAGGTAGGAAGACCAGTTGAAGGTTATTATTTAGGCAAGAGGTTATAATGTCCTAAATTAATAGACACAAGAATGGAAAGGAGTATATTTGACAAGTATTTAGAAGGTAAGATTGATAAAGCTTGGAAAAGGAGGGAGAAAGAGGATTGATCTGAGTGATCACAGGAGTAATGAGCCCATTCACTGAGACCAGGAATACAAGAACAGGTTTTAGATGAGTTCAGTGGGGATTTAGGTACCAGTGATATATCTAAGAGATGTCTAGCCACAGTTGAATTTATGAGTCTAAAGGCATGGTACTGAGAGTTTTGGAAGGAAGAATACAGATTTGAGGAGCATCCATAGAGAGCATTAAAATTATGAGTGCAGCTGAGAACAAGGACAGAGAGATTATAAGGTAAGAATGATGGAGAGAGTTAACTCTTCTAAGGAAAGCTAACATTAAAGAGATAAAAAGAAAAAGAGGAGTTCATGGAAGAGACCAAAAAGGAAAGGGGTCACAAGAATAGGAGGAATGCCAGTAGAGGGCACTCTCAGAAAAGCCATTAAAAGACAGCATGGAGAAGGGGGAGCCTGGGTGGCTCAGATTGTTAAGCATCTGACTCTTGATTTTGGCTCAAGTCATGATCTCAGGGTCATGGAATTGAACCCCATGTCAGGCTCCATGCTCAGTGGGGAGTCTGCATGAGGATTCTCTCCCTCTCCCTCTGCCCCTCACCCTACTCACATTCTCCCTCCCTCTCTCTCTCTCTCTCAAATAAATCTTAAAAAAAAAAAAAAAAAGACAACATGGAGGGGTGCCTGGATGGCTCAGTTGGTTAAGTGTGGGACTCTTGATCTCAGCTCAGGTCTGATCTCAAGGTCATGAGTTCAAGCCCCTTGTTGAGCTCCACACTAAGCGTGGAGCCTACTAAAAAAAAAAAAAAAGACAACATGGGAGTGGGTCACTACATGGGATTGTTAGTTTAAAAAAAGCAAATGTGGTAGGTCATGATGACAATGGCCCCAATGTATCCATGCCTTCCTGTGTCCATGCCCCCTTGCAACTGACATTGCTGCTTCTCCCAAGAAAGGGAGTCTACCTCTTCACTCATTGACTCTGGGCTAGCTTTGTGATTTGCTTTAACTCATTGAATGGGAGTAAAAATTATTCAAATTCCAGAACCTAGGATTTAGAGGCCTCGTAGCTTCTCCTCTTACCCCGTTGGAATCCAGAGTCCACCATGCTGAGAAGAAGCCCAGTCCACTCTACCAGAAAATAGAAGGCCATATAGAAGACAACCAAAGTACTCTGAAAGACAACTAGCATCAACTGCCAAATCTGTGAATGAGGACATTCTGGACCCTCCAGTCCCACTGAACTATGAGATGACCACAGACACATGAATGCTCCAAGCCAAGACTGATGACAGAATCATCCAGATTGCTAACCCACAGAACTATGAGAAATAATAAGCCATTGTTTTAAGCCAGTAAATTTTGGGCTAGTTTGACATACAGCAAAGGTTAACCAAAACAGAAATCAGTACCAATTGTGCAGAGCCTCCATAACAAAGGGGTAAAACATGTGACATTAGCTTTGGGAGTTGGGGGTGAGCAGAGTCAGAGAGCAGTGCAAAAACTGTTTTAAGGGGCAGAAGGGAGGCAGCCGTGCTAATGAAGAGGCCCCACAATGGGCAATACTGTCACCTGAGGCCACTTGGAAGGTGGAAAATGTGCCCAGTGAACTTGGCTACTAAGAATATTTCTAGATATCTAATATTCTAGAAATACTAAAACTATCAACTGTTTAAGCTACTTATGATAAAGCATGGGAAGAGAGAGAGAGAAACCAAGGAGAAGCAGTTTACTCTGCAGCAGAATTTAGAGAAAATCTAGAGTCCGTGATTTGCCAGGTTGCCAACTAAACTTGTTCCTCATCTGCAGTCTCTCCAGTTGGCAAAAGATCTAAAAGTAAAGATCAAATCTAGAGTGCTGACAGTAAAATATGGCCTTGGGTTCAAGATCAACTCAAGGGTGTGCCTGAAGACTCTTTGTGAAGTCCACTGAAAGATTAAAGCCGGCACTCACAATGTCTTCTCAAGCAGACAAAAGGCTTTCTCGGGCTCTTATCTTCAGACATGTGGCCCGTCTGAAACGGAATTGTGGAGTAGACTCTAATCAGATTGATTGAAAACACGTTTTTAAGGAAATTGTACCAGGTTGGACTAAAAAAGACAGAAATTATTCTAAATGAATAGAAACATCCCAAGTTTCTACTGACAGAAATCAGGCTGAAAAGGCCAGTTAGCTACAAACATAGATTATTTCCTATGGAAATGTAAAGAATAAGGTGCTCTGGTGCATATTCCCAGCTGGATTTCAGAATTGCCATGGGCCAGTGATTAATAAGCATTTCCTGTTATTCCCCTTCTTGAACAGAAGTGTCTGTTGATTGGCGCTAAATGTTGGGGAGTGGGGTGGAGGACAGATAACTTGTTTCTTAGTTCATAGCTCTCCAGATCAAGAGGAATAATACTTAAAGAGATGCAATCAAGGAGCCTCAGCATACCTAGACCAAATGCAGATCATGAGATACTGGACTTTGAGTCTGATACCATAATAAGATGAAGCTTGGTATGTGTGTGTGGTGGTGGAGGTCTTAGAAAGGGATAAGTGTATTTTGTTTATAGGAGGGATATAAATATTTATGGCCAGCGAGCACACTGTGACATATTAAATATGGTTACATCCTAAATTTGTTTTCCTTTTCTTCTTTTTTTTTTTCTTTTATCCAAATGAGAAGATGGACGTTAGTGAAAACTACCATGGTAATTATTTCACAATATATGTAAATCAAACCATCATTCTGTATGCATTACACTTATACAGTAATGTAAGTCAATTATTACTCAAAGTAAAACTGGGTGGGGGGAAGCATCCAAGAAAAAACAAACAAACAAAAATATGGTCACAAATTCTTTGCATCTCTTACCATTGAGAGGTTGGCTCTATTGCCCCAACCTTTGAATTAACATGGCCTTTTTTACAAGTCTGTTAGTAGGGTACCGACTCCTGGCTGCATGCCTCAGTTTATTTTTATGTGGCCTCTCATTCTTCAGAGGCAAGCCAGTTTCCTCACATGATAATCACAGGTTGGTATTCAAAGTAGAAGAAGGTGGAAGCTGTAAATCTTCTCAAAGCATAGGCTCTATGCTTTGCTCTAACATTCCCAAAGTCACTTTGAAACATTTTATTGGTCAAAACAAGACATAGGAACAGCCCAAATTCAATGAGATAGGGGTAGCAGGGAGGGATATATGCACCGCCTCTTAATAGGAGGCTCTACAAAAAATTTGTGACCACACTGTACTGCCCTGGGTAAGAAACTTTCAAACTCTGAGAATATTTTAAATTAAGTTTAGAAATGCTTGAAAAAGGAAAAATAGTATTAATATTTTTGTATTAAGGAGAAATATGTTCTTCAACAAAAAAAATAAAAGAGAAGAAAGAATTTATAGGTTAAAAGAGACTTAAAGGGCATATCCATTAATTACAATGTAATTGGAATTATACAAATACAAATACAAATTCAATTTTAAAAATACAAACTGTGAGGGGCGCCTGGGTGGCTCAGTCGGTAAAGGGTCTGACTCTTGATTTTGGCTCAGGGTCATGATCTCAGGGTTGTGAGATCCAGCCCCATGTTGGGCTCCATGCTCAGTGGGGAGTCTACAAGAGAATCTCTCTCTCCCTCTCCCTCTGCCCCTCCCCCCTCTTGCGCTCGCTCTCTCTCTCTCTCTCAAAAACAAATAAATAAATCTTTAAATATATGTATGTAAACTGTGAAAATACACATTGATCACATTGAGACAATTGGAAATTTGATCACTGACTTGATATTTGATGTTATTAAGGAACTATTATTAATTTCTAGGTACAATATTAATATTTACTATGTTTTTTAAAAGGGTTTAAAATTTTGAAATACATACTGAAGTATTTACAGATGAAATAATATGATATCTGGGATTTGTTTCAAAATAATATGGAAGGAAGAGTAGTGAATGAGGCTGCAGATGGGGCAAGATTAGTCATGTTGGTTTTTAAGGCTGGGTGATGGGTACATAGGGACTCATTACAGTGTTATATCTACTTTTGTATATGTTAAAAATTCTTCATAATAAGTTTTAAAATAAAATTTAAAAAAATGGACTCTGGGCATAATGAATATATGGGCATATTTTTATGTACTTGTAATATTGAATAAAATTTGTCCTATTAGATTATAACCCCAATGTAAAATATACAATTTGATAAGTTGATTTAAACTTGATTTTACCTAGGATTCTTCCTTATTTTTAATATAAGTTATATAATATATAATAATATATATTTATTTATTTAAAAGTACAATCTTCCTTATATTAAAACATTTAATCTTAAATCTTAAATATTTTAAGAGAATATTTGATTCACTAGTTTTATTTTAATGTATTAGATTTACAAGAGTTAAAAAAGCACTTTAGAGAATTTTATATAAAAAAAACTCAAATACATTAAATTTATAAAAGCAGTTTCAAATATTTGAAGATGTTTAGTTAAATAAGTACATAAATGGCACCAAATACTATTCAAAGACCCCTCAAAAGTCAACTGCTAAAAACTACTACACCTAGAAACAGAATAATAAGATTTGTGACTTGAACTTAAAGCCTAAGACATTTATTGTTATTTTTTAACTTTAATAAAGCAAACTTTAATAACCAATACACTATCAAAAGGTGAAAAAATATTTTTTCTAGTCACCTGAAAGCCTTATGTAAGAAATAAGAGCATTGCAAGAATTAAAAATAAATAAATAGAAAGCAGATTATGTGAACTGTACCAACCATTTGTATTATAGCTACATGCAATCTGGCTTCTTCTATTAAAACTTCTTCTGTTGGGGACTCCTCCTCCTTTTTGTTATCATGTGAAACATGATAAGGATCAGACTAAGTTTGAAAACATAAGGAGATAAAGTTAAAAATAAGCTAAAATATATAGGAGCTGCTAAACACATCACTCAACAATGATTCCAATAACTCAAATCAGAATTGCTAAAATGAAGGGCTATGTATAACTGGGTTTGCTCTCTGTATGAGAAATCCTGCTTTTAATTGTGGTAAAGTAACAATTCATGTGGGGAGATTTGCAAGTCAGATTCTCCCCCAAACCTGTCTATGCTTGACTGCTCTCTGAAACAACCTGTGTTTTCTGCTTTTTATAATAACTCCTCAAATGGTTGGAAACATGAGCTTGGCAGGACCATTCATAGTTACTAAATCAGCCAGTGGGTAAAAACCAATTCTCCTATATTTGGCAAATAAAGCCAGATAACCAAGACCTTCTCTTTAGAGAGAATTCAAAGTCTTTTCACCAAGATAGCAAAGCTAGTAAGTATATCCCCTGTCCTTAGTTTTCTGACATTTCATTAGCAGGATCAAGTTTTTTATAATAAACTAAAGCAGGAGAGGCAGACCCAGGAGAAAAGGAGGACTATTTTTTTTTTCCAGGTATCAACTCACAGGAATGTTGTATTCAATCTTTGTTTTTTCTTCTACTAAGGTCCAATTAACATTTGTCAAAATTTTTTCTGTTTTGAACAGTGTTATTGTGTTCTGTATTATCTCCTGAATGTGCTTAATGGCATTTTGCATGGCCATTTGCCTTGGGAGGGAAATAGCACACAAACCTGTGACCAAAAAAAAAAAAAAGCAAGGATCTTAATAGAATACAGTGAAAACTGCAAGAAGAAGCAAAATCCTGCAAGGTGTAGTGAAATCTTGCTGTAGTGAATCACCTGCACAGCCAAACCATAGTGCTTGGAGCAAGGACAACCTTTGGTCCAAAATTTCCCAGAAAATTACCCAACTATCTGTTTCTTCTGGCTGCAGAGCTCAACTTTATCTGACTCAACTGCTAAGGAATGCTTTATTCATTTCCTTTCATTCCTGTTAGCTAGAGACGTGACTTGCTTCTTCAAGGTCCCCAATCAGTATTTCTCAAGGTGTAGGAAACTACTCCTGTCTTCTACAGGTTGGAAGGCTGCCTATTAAGCTATGCGAATTCCTTGGCTCCACCTCTTACCTAGAGAATCAGCTTGGCCTAGGAATTTGCATTTGAACAAGTTCTCCAACTGAATCTTATAAAAATTTTTAAGATTTGAAATATAAAGTTCACTACAATAGAGATCCCTCAAATTTAGTATATCTGTTTCCTGGCCAGCAAATCTACATGTTCCAAAAATTGTAGCCATTTGTATCTTCTTGAGGTATGAATTTGAAGTTATAGCTGTGAGGCTCACTCACCAAAAAGAATTTATTTTTTTTTAAGATTCTATTTATTCATTCCACAGAGAGAGAGAGAGCACAAGCAGGGGAAGCAGCAGGCAGAGGGAGGGAGAAGCAGGCTCCCCATTGAGCAGGGAGCCTGATGCGGGGCTTGATCCCAGGACCTGGGATCATGACCTGAACCAAGGCAGATGCTTAACCAAAAGAGCCACCTAGGTGCCCCCCAAAGGAATTTAATTAGTGAATGAACTTAGTCTGCTCACTTGGAATTCCATCTCAATAAAATTATTCTCTCTTCATAATTGCACATGAAAGGTCTCATAAAGAGTTAAAATGAGTTCTAAATGTTTAGCTTAACTTTACTTCATTCTCTACAGGACACTGTGTGTAATGATGGTATTTGAAATTTTCAGGATTCCAAAGGTCTGGAAGCATATCCCTTTTGATTTACTGTGGTCCAGAGCAAAGATACATTTGACTGTAGGCTGAAGCTAGAAGTTGTCAGCTTTAGATTAAAAATTCCCATGGCTGAGACCACACAGAAGAAATTTTTTCTCATTTGCCTAGTTATATCCTACCCATATGATGGAGCACCTGCCACTTTCCAGTTGCTCTGGGGAAACATGAGTGTATGTGGCCACTTGGTGGCACCAATATATTTGAATGAACTCTCTGTGTTTAAGATGATCCTGGAAGAGTATGAGAAGGGAATCTCCTAAAGCCTTAGACTAGACAGAAGTAGTTGGTTTGAAACTCTTACTGATAAAACTCAACTCTGTCAAGTATTAAATATGTGCCACATAGTATTTCTAGAAAGGATGAGCATGGATTCTGAGGGGAGAAAGATCTTATCATATACTTCTGTTTTATAATGAAAATTTTTTAGGTTTAACTACTACAATAAAAAAAATTGGGGGGGGAGGCGCCTGGGTGGCTCAGTTGGCTAAGCATCCAACTCTTGATTTTAGCTCAGGCCATGATCTTGGGGTCTTGAGATCGAGCCCCACATCAGGCTCCATGCTGAGTGTGAAGCCTGCTTGGGATTCTCTCTCCCTCTGCCCCTGCCCCTTGCTCTCACAACACATGCTCTCTCTCAAAAATAAATTTTTTTTTTAATTTTGTAAGGGAAGAAATAGAAAAAATATTACCATGACATTAAAACCCCTGGTTGACCTTGCCTTTGAGAGTCAGAATGAGAGGAATCACAAGAAAAGAAGCATGGGAGAAATCCAGATGTTATATCCTAAGCAAAGAGAATGGAGTGGGTCTGGATTCCTGGGAGTCAAAGGAATTGGTGTGAAGGGGAGTGTGAGAAAGTCTTCAAAGATCAAATTAACTTTACTCATGCTCCAGTGTAGGCTTTTGATGACAAAGCATACCTTTCTACTGAGAAAAAGAACAAATCCATAACTGGGGAAAAGGAGAGCTACCAAAAATCTGCCCCATTTCCTAACTCAGTTTACATACTGGAGCCCTTGGGTTTGAGGTGGGCAATAACAGGAAGTTCTGCTATAGTTTTCGTGGGGTCAGTTTTAAAAATGGGCATGACTGTGAAAGGACACAAGCAGGGAGTTGATGTCTCTCATGGGTAGGAGAGGGTAAATTCACCAGGCTATTTCCTTGTTTAGAAGAACTCTCCTTCAACATCATCCTTCCATTGACCTCTCATTAGGTCCATGCTTTCCAAGAAACTTTCTTACTACTAGTTTTGTTTATCATGGAAATTGGTATTTAGAGATAAACACCCTGAATAATGATCACAATTATTTCAGACATAGAAATAAATCATCCTCATTATAAATTAATAAATTGATTTTCTGCTTTATCCACATTTTCCTGTGAGTGCAGTAAATCTCCAGCATTCTAATCAATTCTAGATACACTGAAAGAATCACGCACCGGCAGAGCTAAATACCAGGCCATGGGATAGTGAATGATACTAAGGCCCTATTCTAAGACTTCGTGTAATCCCACTCCACCTTCTCCATCCCTGTTTGACTGTACTGCCACCAATGATCTTATCCTAGATTTCTCTATTGACCATGTGTCTCTGTGTGATTTTCTCATATTTATGCATTTTATTATCACTGGCCTCAAATGTCTTCTGAAATAGGCAACTGTGGCACAGCCTACTGACTGTCTCCCAATATCCATTTTCCCCTTCTTCTTTTACCAACTGAATCTCCAGGTTTTGGCTGAGCACATGGTCAACCAGATAGGGATAATATTTCACAGCTTCTTTTACTCATGAATGACCATGTGACCAAATTCTGGCCGATGGAATGTGAGTGGTAATGATACATACAATTTCTAGATTGTGCCCTTAAAAGTAAGCTGCTTACCCTCCATTGCCACCCATCTCCCCATTTCCCCTCTCTAGTTGGTTGGATTGAAGATACAGTGGTAGTGAGCCAGCTTCCACCCTGCAGACAAGAACAACACCCCAGGGACTGGAGGAGAAATAAAAGAGAAGCAGAACCATCCCACTCTTTTGGACATTTTGATGGAGAGGAAAAGAAAGTCCTCTATCTTATTTAAGCCACTGTGAATGTGGTTTCTGTTAAACTGGCTGAACCAATATCCCAATTAATACAGCATCTATAAATAATGAATGAAAGAAAATGAATGATTTCATAATCAATTCCTTGAGCTCCATAAGAAATGTCCCCATGACCCCCAACAATAATCTATTTGCATTATTTTCCCCAGTTAATTAATGAAAGATAGATATAGTTTACCTAGTGTCCTGGCTGAATGAGTCATCATGTATGAATTTATTCCCATAGTCATTAGTGATATTACCTGTACATACAATATAAACTAAAAAATAAAATACACAGTTAGAACCAAAAAAAATGAATAAGTTCTCCAAAGGGAATCATTGTTCAACCACCAACAACAAAATTCTATCTTAATCCACATTTTTTAATCCTGCTTCTGATAAGTAAATTGGGGCAGAAGAGTTGTTTTGTGGACACTGCTTGAATATAATACACTGGAGCAGATATTAGTTTTCAATGTGAATGAGAAAAGAGTTTATAATTTCTGGGAGGGATAAGAACACTGATCAAAGAGCTCCCCACCCTTGCTGCTTTCAGCAGCAGCCTTGCAAAGCCAGCAAAGTGGTAGGCATCCCTGCAGGGCTGGGGAGAAAGCCCACAACCGCAGGCAGTGGTGACCACAGCGGGGATGGGAAAGGGTATCTGCCACCAGCATTTACTAAAGCTGCTCAGGAGGCTCTGAAGAAACCTGCAGAAACCATGGTGGGGTCTTGAGAGGAACTGCGCAGAAGTAAAAACAACCGCTTTTGCAGGTCTTGGCCCTGCCACTTATTAGCCATGTGATTTGGGGTCAGTTGACTTAATCATTCTGAGCCTCAATGTCCTTCACTAGAAACTGGAGTTAATAGCAATATGTCCTTTGGAGAGTGTTTCCCAAATTTGACTAATAACACTAGGCACCTGAAGTTCTTCTAAAAGATACCAACTTCTGGTTTTCTTCCCTGAAGATTCTGATTGTGTAGGTCTGGGGTGGCGATAAAGGGATTGGTATAACATCACATAGATTTGGGAAATACTGTAAGGGATAATCAAATGTTAGTTAACATTTTGTTGACTTGATTTTAGCCTGATTCCTTGCACAAAAGAAAATTGAAGGAGCTCAGATGTTGGTTATGATACTTTTCCTTTGGGCCATGAAAGGACCCAAAATCTCTACAAAACCACAGGTTGGTTTGAACTCCAAATTAATTCCCGCATGATGTTTATAGATAAAAAGTGCAAATCCTCAGGAAAGATGATAAGGAATATAATACTCCATTTTAAAAAGAACTTCTTTTGGGAGTTAGGGTACCTGAGTTCTTTCCCTAACATGCTATTCTCTTTGTTTTGATTTCTCTACATGCAAGATGGAGAGGGTGATAACTGATCCCCCAAAGAAATTTTTATATTTTTATATTGTACTGCTGGGGTCTTTTGGAACAGAAGCAAAATGACAAAGAGAAAACCCTGGGCTGGAAATCAGCCAATATCAAGAAACTCTGTACATCTACCTGCAGATTAAATTTTCTTGGGAGGTGGGCAAGTGTTCTTAATTCACATTATTTGAGTGGCTTTTCTCCCCCCAACAGCAGGTTTGGAATTCATATGCATCTGACTTGGAGATGGTGGGGGTGTCCTGGGGATTTCTAGCAACTTTTAGCAACTTCTCCAGCTAGCTCACACAGTATTGTCACAAATGACAAGGGGCTCTAACACTGTCAGCAGATGCACTGGGTTCTTTGGGTCTTCCCTGGAGCTCAGTATCACAGGTATTGCCACCACCAGATTGCCCAGAAATCCACCCCAGCTAGCCTATGAAGAAAAGGTTTTGAGGGAGAGTAATTAACATTTATTGAGCATTTGCTAAGTGGCAGGTATTTTACTAAGTATCATCTCAATCCTCAACTGGAAACTGAGGTTCCACAAATCTGGGAAACTTGCCCAAGGTCACCCAGCCTGTGACGGTGGAACCAGGATTCGATCCCAAGTCCATCTGATTCCCACACCATTAACCACTACTTGACTGTTGGTCCCTTTCATACTGTCAACATAAACAAACTTTCCTTTGAAAGTCCCTTTCTACTTAAAAGAACACATTTTTCAAATCTAATTTTTAAAATGGTTAACTTTGGGAGAAGGGAGAGAAGTTGGTGAAGGAGTAGGATGACCCTAGCTCATCTTGTCCCCACAAACATAACTAGATAACTATCAAATCACTCTAAATACCCCCAGAAATCAACCTGAAGACTGAAAGAACAAACTCCACAACTAAAGGAAGAGAAGAAGCCACATCAAGGAAGATAGGAAGTACCGAGAGGTGGTTTGGGGGAGAAAGAGATTGTAAGTGCTGTGGAGGAGAGGGAGCCCTGGTCATGGAGAAAGGTGAGAGAGAGAGGCACTTGGGGGAATGCATAAGGAGAATACTTCCCTAAAGTCATTGGCTGGGAAAATGAGAGGGGCTACAAGTGGGACTTAAAGACGAGTTTTAAAGTCCAGCAGGCTTGGCTGGTATAGAGCCCTGAGGGAGCTGCCTTACTCCTGGAGAGAAGACAGACAGAAAACCTGGGGGCAGATGCCATGGAAATAGCATCTGAAGAATGCCTGGGGCACAGAGCAGGGAGATAATTCACTCTTCTTGGAGCCTTACCTGAGAGGCAGGATTCACACCTCTCTCTGGAGACAAAGGAGCTAGCAGGTGCCATTTCCCTCCCCTGCCCCTCAGCATAAACACAGAGCCACCTTCAGGAGGCAGCATAGTGCCCACAGTGGCTGCCTAACCTGCTTATGCCAAGTCCCAGCCCCCTGCGCTCTGGCACACCTGCCCTCCATCAAGCCTGCCTCTGTCCCAACACGGCCAGCCCCTTCCCCAGAAGGCCAGCAGAAGTCCCTGCCCTCAACATGTCTCCTGACCAGAGTTCTGCAGGGGTACAGTTCTAGTGGAAGTAGTATCAGGTCTCATTTAACAAGCAGACCAGAGCACACCTAGATGAAACTCACTACACTCTGGCCAAGTGCCCACTGCAGGCAAGGAGAGCCTCTGCAGACAACTGGTCTGAAGGATACAGCAGCCAAAACACAACAGCAGAGTGCACACAACACACACCAGAGACACTCTCTGAAGTGCCAGACCCTGGACACTCTATGACCTCTTCTTCAGAAAGCCATTACTCTCAGGAGCAGGAAACATAACTGGCTTTTCTAACACAGAGAAGAAAGCAGAGGCTTAGACAAAATATCAAGATGGAGGAATTCATCCCACATGAAAGAACAAGATAAGGTCACAGCCAGAGATCTAAGTGAAACAGATATAAGTAACATGCCTGATAGAGAATTTAAAGCAACAATCATAAAGATACTCACTGGGCTTGGAAAAAGAATAGAAGATTTCAGGGATACTCTTACCACAGAGATAATAGAGTTAAAAAGGAATCTGTCAGAAATGAAAAATGCAATAATTGAGACCGGAAACAGGCTTGAAGCAATGAACACAGGCTGAAAAAGGCAGAGGAAAAAAAGAGTGATATAGAAGACAAAATAATGGATAATAAGGAAACTGAACAAAAGAGAGAAAGAATTATGGAACATGAGACTAGACTTAGGGAACTGAGTGACTCCATCAAAAGTAATAACATTTGTATTATAGAAGAAGAGAGAAGGGGGGGGGAGAAAATTTATTTGAAAAAATAATAACAGAAAACTTACCTAATCTGGGGAAGGAAACAAACATCCAGATCCAGGAGGCACAGAGAATTCCCATCAAAATCAACCAAAGCAGGCCAACATCAAGACATATTGTAATTAAATTTGCAAAATATAGTGATTTAAAAAAGTCTTGAAAGCAGCAAGACAAAAGAAGTCCTTAACTTACAAGGGAAGACCCATAAGGCTAACTGCAGATTTCTCAATAAAAACATGGCAAGCCAGAAGGGAGTGGTATGACCTATTCAAAGTGCTGAATGGGAAAAATGTGCAGCCAAGAATATTCTATCCAGCAAGGCTATCATTCAGAAGAGGAGAGAAAAAGAGTTTCCCAGACAAACAAGAACTAAAGGAGTTTGTGACCACTAAACCAGCCCTGCAAGAAATATTAAAGGGGACTCTTTGAGTGGAAAGACCAAAAGTGACAAAGACAAGAAAGGAACAGAGAACATCTCCAGAAACAATGACAAAACAAGTAATAAAATGGCACTAAGTACATATCTATCAATAATTACTCTGAATGTAAATGGACTAAATTCTCCAATCAAAAGACATAGGGTATTAGAATGGATAAAAAAAAACAAGACCCATCTATACGCTGCCTACAAGAGTCTCATTTTAGATCTAAGGTCACCTGCAGATTGGAAGTGAGGGGGTGGAGAAACATTTATCATGCAAATGGACTTCAAAAGAAAGCCAGAGTAGCAATATCACTAGTCAGAGGCCTTAACAATGTTCCTTTGGAGATGCCCCACTTTCTTGTTTTTGTTTTTGTTTTTTTTATTGTGACCTTGTCAAAAGTCACCAGTCCAAGACGGTAGAACTTTTGGAATTGTCCTACTAAGGCCTGCAAAGGTGAAATCTTCGTAGTATCCATCTTTTGAGGCTTTCTAGATTTTAGGTTAAGAAAGCCACTTGAGATATACTCTTCTATCTTGCCTCCTGTATCCTCAAAACTAGTACCTAATCAGAAAGACTGCCTGCTTCTGGGCTTGCATTGCCCTCTGAATCTAAAACTAACTTTTTTCAGATGGATTAAAAAATATTTACACAATAGTCTCCATTAAAATCTTTGGAGGGAAACAGAAGGAATCTTTTTCTAAGATGTCAGGGCTTTTCCTCTCAGCCTCTGAACCTGGGGAAAGTACCTGAGATTCCTTCCTACCCTGGGGTGAGGAGAATAGCCTTTAATAAAGTTGATAGGAAACACTGAGTATGGAGCTGTGAGGATAATCACTTCAAAACTGCCTGCATCTATGGTGAAGAAAGGAAGAGCTGTCGTTGGTGATTAGGATTATGAATGGAGAGTCATTTTAAACCTTCTGGGGAACAATGGATTTCACAGGGCATTGTTTCTATAACACTTAAATCCTTGTTAATTATCCCACAAAGAAAGCTCTCTGGTGACTCAGAGGCTAGGAGTTGGCCCAGTTGGGGGTGGAGGGTAGAAGGCTGCAGTCAGGAAGCTTGAAGGGCTGTGGGGAAAGGGTGAGATGTTCTGAGACCTGGGGCCAACTTCATTCTGGGCTTGCCTGTTTGTGTGTTCAGTTTGGCTCTGGGCTGGATTCTGGGGAGAGATGGGTTTGCTGTTCAGAGGGCATGAGGTTCTTCCTTAGACTAAATGATGCTTACAGTTGTGACTCTTTTCTACTATGCTGTGCTGAAGTGATGGAGACTAGGCTATGTTACAAATAAATCATTTTTTGTTGTTTTTGTTAAATATATATATATATCAGACAAACTAAAATTTAAAATAAAAACAAGAGATGAAGGACACTCTATAATAATAAAAAGGATAATACAACAAGAAGATCTAATGATTGTAATTATTTATGCACCCAACGTGGGAGCACCCAAATATATAAAACAATAATACATAAAGGAACTAATTGATAATAATACAATAATAATAGGGAACTTTAACACCCCATGTACATCAATTCACACATCATCTAAACAGAAAATCAACAAGGAAACAATAGCTTTGGATGACACACTGGACCAGATGGACTTAACAGATATATTCAAAACATTCCATCCTAAAACAGCAGAATACACATTCTGTTCAAATGCACATGGGACAGTCTCCAGAATAGATCACATACTAAGCCACAAATCAGAACTCAACAAGTACAAAAAGACTGAGATCATACCATGCATATTTTCTGACCACAATGCTATGAAACTTAAAGTCAACCACAAGAAAAAATTTGGAAATACCACAAATACACAGAGGTTAAACAACATGCTACTAAACAATGAATGGGTCAACCAGGAAATCAAAGAATAAATTTAAAACTACATGTAAATAAATGAAAATGAAAACAACAGTCCCAAACCTCTGGGATGCAGCAGAAGTGGTCACAAGAGGGAAGTATATAGCAATACAGGCCTTCCTCAGGAAGCAAGAAAAATCTCAAATAAACAACCTAACCTTACACCAAAGAAACTAGAGAAAGAACAACAAATGAAGATAAAGCCAGCAGAAGAAGGAAATAATAAAGATTAGAACAGAAATAAATGATATAGAACCTTAAAAAAACACAATAGAATAGATCAATGAAACCAGGAGCTGGTTCTTTGAAAAAATTAATAAAATTGAAAAACCCCTAGCCAGACTTATCAAAAAGAAAAGAGAAAGAACCCAAATAAACAAAATCACAAATGAGAGAGAAGAAATAACAACCAACACCACAGAAATACAATTATGAGAGAAGATTATGAAAAACTATATGCCAACAAATTGGACAACCTGAACAAAAAAAAGATAAATTCCTAGACACATATAAACTACCAAAACTGAAACCAGCAGAAATAGAAAACTTGAACAGACTGATAACCAGCAAAGAAACTGAATCAGTTATAAAAAAATCTCCCAACAAACAGAAATCCAGGGCCAGACGGCTTCACAGATGAATTCTACCAAACATTTAAAGAAGAGTTAATACCTATTCTTAAACTATTCCAAAAAGTAAAAAAGGAAAGAAAGCTTCCAAATTTATTCTATGAGGCCAGCATTACCCTGATACCAAAACTCAGAAAAAGACTCCCCTAAAAAAGAAAACTACAGGCCAATACCCCTGATGAACATGGATACAAAGATTCTCAATAAAATACTAGCAAACTGAATCCAACAGTACATTGAAAGAATCATTCACCAGGATCAAGTGGTATTTATGCCTGGGCTGCAAGAGTGGTTCAATACTCACAAATCAATCAATGTGATACACCACATTAACAAAAAAAGAAGGATAAGAACCATATGACCCTTTCAATAGATGCAGAAAAAGCATTTGACAAAGTACAACATCCATTCATGATAAAAACCCTCAAGAAAGTAGAGTTAGAGGGAACATACCTCAATGTAATAAAGGCCATATATGAAGAACCCACAGGTAACATCATACTAATGGGGAAAAAGTGAGAGCTTTTCTCCTAAGGTCAGGAATAACACAAGGATGTCCACTCTCACCACTGTTATTCAACATAGTACTGGAAGTCCTAGCTACAGCAATTGGAAAACAAAAAGAAATAAAAAGCATCCAAATCAGCAAGGAAGAAGTCAAACTTTCACTATTTGCAGATGACATGATACTCTATATAGAAAACCCAATGGGTCCACCAAAAAATTGCTACAACTGATACACGAGTTCTTGCTTCGGCAGCACATATACTAAAATCGGAACGATACAGAGAATATTGGCATGGCCCCTGAACAGGGATGACATGCAAATTTGTGAAGCATTCCTTATTTTTAAGACAATTATCATATGGTTTCACTCATATGTAGAATATAAGGAATAGCACAGAGCATCATAGGGACAGGGAGGGAAAACTGAATGGGAAGAAATTAGAGAGGGAGACAAACCATGAGAAACTCTTGACTCCGGGAAACAAACTGAGGGTTGCAGAAAGGGAGGTGGGTGAGGGGATGGGGTAACTGGGTGATGGGCAAAGGAGAGCACATGATATGATGAGCGCTGGGTGTTATACAAAACTAATGAATCATTGAACATTACATCAAAAACTAATGATGTATTATATGTTGGCTAATTGAATTTAAATTTTAAAAATAAAAATTAAAAAAAAGAACTGCTACATGAATTCCATAAAGTCACAAGATACAAAAACAACATATACAAATCTGTTGCACTTCTATACACCAATAATGAAGCAGCAGAAAGACAAATTATAGAATCAATCCCATTTACAATTGCACCAAAAACTCTAAGATACTTAGGAATAAACTTAGCCAAACAGGAGAAAGACCAGTACTCTGAAAACTATAAAACACTGATGAAAGAAATTGAAGAGGACACGAAGAAATGGAAAGATATTCCATGTTCATAGATTAGAAGAACAAATATTAACGTCTATACCACCCAAAGCCATTTACACATTTAATGCAATCCCTATCAAAGTAACACCAGCATTTTTCACAGAGCTAGAACAAACAATCCTAAAATTTGTATGGAACTACAAAAGACCCCAAATAGCCAAAGCAACCTTGAAAAAGAAAAGCAAAGCTGGAGGCATCACAATTCTGGAGTACAGGTTATATTACAAAGCTATAATGATCAAAACTAGCACAAAAATAGACACATAAATCAATAGAACACAATAGAAAACCCAGAAATGAACCCACAACTATAGGGTCAATTAATCTTTGGCAAAGCAGGAATGAATATTCCAGGGGAAAAGACAGTCTTTTCAACAGATAGTGTTGGGAAAACTGGACAGCAACATGCAAAAGAATGAAACTGGACCACCTTCTTATACCATACACAAAAATAACTTCAGAATGGATGAAAGACCTAAATATGAGACAGGAAACCACTAGAATCCTAGAGGAGAATATAGGCACTAACCTCTCTGACATCAGCCATAGCAACTTCTTTCTAGGTATGTCTCTGGAGGCAAAGAAAACAAAAGCAAAAATAAACAATTGGGACTTCATCAAAATAAAAAGCTTCTGCACAGGGAAGGAAGCAATCAACAAAACTAAAAGGCAGCCTATGTGGGAGGGATGGGGGAAGATATTTGCAAATGACATCTCTGATAAAGGGTTAGTATCCAAAATATATAAAGAATGTATACAACTCAACACCCCCAAAAAACAAATAATCCAAAAAATGGGTAAAAGACACGGATAGACATTTTTCCAAAGCACACATAGAGCTGGCCAATAGACACATGAAACGATGCTCCATACCACTAATTATCAGGGAAATACAAATCAAAACTATAATGAGGTATCACCTCACACCTGCCAGAATGGCTTTAAATCAAAAGCACCAGAAGTAACAGGTGTTGGTGAGGATATGGAAAGAGGAGAACCCTCCTGCACTGTTGGTGGGAAGGCAAACTGGTGCAGCCACTATGGAAAACAGTATGGAGTTTCCTCAAAAGGCTGAAAATAGACCTACCCTATGATCCAGCAATTGTACTACCAGGCATTTACCCAAAAAACACTAAAATACCAATTCAAAGGGATACATGGACCCCGATGTTTATAGCAGCATTATCTACAATAGCCAAACTATGGAAATAGCCCAAGTGTCCATCGATTGATAAATGGATGAAGAAGGTGTGGTGGGTACACACACACACATACACACATATAATGGAATATTCCTCAGCCATCAAAAAAGAATGAAATCTTGCCATTTGCAACAACATGGATAGAGCTAGAGAGTATAATGCTAAGTAAAGTAAGTCAGTCAGAGAAACATAAATACCATATGATTTCACTCATATGTGGAATTTAAAAAACAAAATGAACAAAGAGGCAGAAAAAAAGAGAGAGAGGGAGGCAAACCAAGAAACAGACTCTTACCTATAGAGAACAAACTGATGGTTACCAGAGGGGAGATGGGTGGGGGGATGGGTGAAATAGGTGATGGGGATTAAGGAGGGCACTTGATGTGATGATAACCGGGTATTGTATGTAAATATTGAATCACTAAATTGTACACCTGAAATTAATATTACACTGTATGTTAACTAACTGGAATTTAAATTAAAAAATTTTAAAAACGGTTAACTTTATTATTGGGTACTATGATAAGTACTACAAAATAAATAAAAATGAATAAGTATGAATAATTATGAGATACGATTTTTCCTACCAATTGCGGTGACTCTATTTTTTGTCCAGCCAGATTATGAATATCAGGAGCCAAGAGTAAGCTAAAAGCTCCTCTAATTCCAGACCACGCTATAACAATTCCCCATTTCCAATTATATTCATAATTCGCATGCATCAGGATGGGGCTCACTAAAACAATAGTAAGCAACCTGTGGCGAGAAAAAATTTTATTAATCACACCTGAGGTATCAATGTTATTCATGGCTGAATACTAAATTTCATGTAAAACTTTTTCAGGAAGGAGAAAATAATCAGTTTATTGACAAGTTGTTCAAACTTTCTGGAACAAACCAAATCTACTGTCTAAATTTTGCATATAATACTCAAATCTTGAAAAACAGTGCTAGAAGTTTTATACAAATATAAGGAATTATCATTAACCTTTTGGGCACTATTCGGATTTGGGTAGTAAATTTCTGAAAGAAAGTTCTTCAAATAACATTGACAAGCTCATCTATTCCAGAAATTAGGCCAAGAGGACATGCAGATGATGGCCAAAAAGTAAAATTATTGTAGGCACATTAATAAACTTGGCTTAACCAAATTTTTCTTGAGCTCCTGTGAGAATCACAAACTAAATGTCACATAAGTAACCTCAATTTGTGCGATCATTTTTCTTTTCTTTTCTTTTCTTTTTAGAGTGGGGAGGAACAGAAGGAGAGGGAGAAAGAAAATCTCAAGCAGGCTCCATGCCCAACACGGAGACTGACGCAAGGCTCGATCTCACAATCCTAAGATCATGACCCAGGCTTTCAAGAGTCAGAGGCTTAACTGATAGAGTCACCCAGGTGCCCCTCCTTTCTTTTTTCTTATTTGAGAATAGTTGACCCACAATGTTAACGATAGTTTCAGGTGTGCAACATATTGATTTGACAACTCTACTCTTTTTTTTTAGAGAGAGATTTTATTTATTTATTTGAGAGAGAGAGAAGGAGAGAGAGAACATGAGAGGGGGGAGGGTCAGAGGGAGAAGCAGACTCCCCGCCGAGCAGGGAGCCCGATGCGGGACTCGATCCAGGGACTCCAGGATC